CCCCGTATCTAAGTAGGATTAACATTTAGAAACCTACAACACGAGACGTAGTACGTTGAGCGAAATAATCCAACACGAGACGTAGTACGTTGAGCGAAATAATCCAAACAAGGAAACCCTCATGTATATACCATAAGTCTTAAATTATAGATATCTAAACATTAATACCGAACTAATAAGTCTTAAATTATAGATATCTAAACATTAATACCGAACTAAGAAAAGACAATCTAATGAAACCAATAGTTAGAAACCCATAACACGAGACTGATACATCGAATGAACTAATCCAAACAAAGAAACCCTCATGTATATACCATATGTCTCGAGTTGTGAATCTCTAATCATTGATCACAACTAAGAAGTAAAAAAAAAGACAGTAAAAGAAATAAGATATCAACACATTGTATTTATAATATCTTCCACAATCACTGGAGAGATAGAATAAAAATACCAACACATAATTTTGTATACTTTCAAAAGTAACATATCTCAGTTATATAGTTCAATGATAGGTCGTATTCATAATCGACATCTGTCATACTTAGGCTATCAAGTAATTGTCTCAGTGCAATGGACTACCCTGTAGGTATCCTGAACTATGTACACGGCTCATTAGTCTCATCGTGATCTCAGTGCATAACATGAGTGCGGGACGGTCTACCAAATAGGCATCCTAGAAATACGGCTCACGAGCCTCATCGCATCCTAGTGCGGGACGGACGGCTAGATCAAGTCTCCTAAAATCCGACTCAATGGCCTGTACATGTGGAATATCGACGTACTACCTCATGTAGTACCAAACTGAGCTCATCAACGATATCAACCTCATGTATAAACTATGTATATCTGGTGTGTCGACGCACTATCCCATATAGTACTAAGTTGTGCTCATCAACGACATCCAACATGTATATGAACTATATCTAATTCAAATATGATCAAATCAAAATTTATCATAATCCCCTTGGGATTCTTAAATGTATAACATAACATATTCATGACTATACGTATAACATCAAGCGTCTCAAAACTCCGCGAACGCACATCAAAACGGCGCAACACAGCTCCACAAAACGAGCAGGAAAAACAGACATGATATCTGTTAGTAAAATCTTTCTCTAGGAAAACTATTTTTATAAATGGTTTTCTGTTTTGAAAACTAGATTCACTCATCTTTCAAATGACATAAGTTTGGTTCAGTTTGGAGTTCATTTTTTATCCCAAATCTCCAGTTAAACATAATATATGTGTAGCCATTTTTCTACAGGACATGTTGTTAGTAAATATAACATATCTTTCTCTATACAAACTCTTTTTAAGAGACATGTTGTTAGTAAATATAACATATCTTTCTCTATACAAACTCTTTTTAAGAATGGTTTTCTATTTTAGAAACTAGATACATATATCTATCTTTCTCTATACAAACTCTTTTTAAGAATGGTTTTCTATTTTAGAAACTAGATACATATATCTTTCATATAAAACTAGGTTGGTTAAATTTGGACTTTACTTACTATCTTAAACTCTTAATTAAAGATTATATAAGTGTTGTAGTTTTTTGCAGAAAAACATATATATAGTACATCACTTAAATTTCTCATATATGAATAAAATTATGAAAAACCCTAATGATCATGATCATGATACTATCATAAATAGCAAGAAAAGATTATTTATCTAGCATTTATTTTAAGGTTTACTATCAAAAATCTGACTTTTAACACCTCAGGTTAAGATTAAAGCATGAAAACACATATTCAACATCATATTAATCATCTATACTAGATATTTAACTATAGGGATAGGTTAGGATAAATGATAAAGATAATCTTGCCTTAATCTCATGTGCAAGCCTCTGAAATAAACAACAAGCAATCCATGAGCACAAACCACCCGTTCTCTCTCGTCACACGTCGATAATCTCGCCCTTTTGTCGATATTTGCTTCACAAAGCTCTCAAAACTCATAAGAATAAAATCTAGGGTTTTTGAGGGGAGAGGGTGGCTGTTAGGGTTCATAGATATGATAAAAAAAGAGATTTTTTTATGAAAAACATAGGTATTTATAGAGGCAAACCCGAAACAAACATGTTTGACCCGAACCAGGAAACCTAGTCTGACTAGGAAAACAACCTTCGATATTTTGGTAATAACTTTCGTGCCCGACCTCGGAATGAGGTGATATAAGATTTGTTGGAGATCTCTTGAAAATACCTACAACTTTGGTATTTTGACTTTTCCCAGATTCTAGGTGCATCATTGTGTAAAATGTATAAACTCTTAACTGGTCATTTTTCACAGATTTTTTCTCGTGCATGTTTTGTGCATTTGCACTCATATATTCATATATATATATATGTATCAGATTGATCTCAAATCAATTCCTAGCATACTCAAATATCAATAAGCGTTATTTATCACAATATAACATGTTTATTATTATATCTCACAACATTCAGTATTACGGGGTTTTACAAAGTACAGGCACGACTTAGTGAGAGATGTCTTGTATGATATCCTCCAAAGAGCAGGGATCCCATCAAAGAAGGAAGCGCCAGTCAACTTCCTCACTCCTCCTAGAGAGGCTAGATCTACTCTTAGGCCGGTAAACGTTCTTGTCTACAATTGGAGCGGGGGGAAGCACGCCTGTGTTGATCTCACATGGGTGTCTCCGTTGGTGGGGTTTTGTAATGGAGAGTTCAAGGTTGGACATGTAGCGGATAGAGCAGCAGAGGCAAAGGTGGGCAAACATGATCAAGCTTACAAGGACAACCACCACAGCTTCATCCCGTTCACTTTCGATACGTTTGGTTTCCTTGCAGCTGATACGGTGGAGTTCCTCAGGAGGGTACATAAATTCATGAATAAGAATGTGGCGACAGCATGGTCCGTTGAGTATGTATTTCGTAGGTTGGGTTTTACAATTCAGAAAGGATTAGCGGCGTAGCTTGTTGTCCGCTTGTCATAATCACATGTGTAATTGTTTATCGATTTATCTTTTTTAAAAAAAGAAAAAAAAGAAAAAAATGTAAATCTGTATCTATTTTACAAAAAAACTAGGAAAAAAACTATAGAATACAATTTGAATTTTTTTCACCTTTAGAAAACTTAACAAATAAATATTAACTCACTAAAAAGCTTTTATGAACTTTTTAATGTACCAATGCGCACATTACATTACATTACATACAATAAGAAAATTTTTGTCTAAGAACATATATTTACTATAAAAACGTGCAAAGAAAATTTGAAATCTAATGGAAATCTTTAATAAACATTTGCGATAATAAATAAACGTATTGTTGATCAGAATAAAAGAAAATTGTAAGAACCATTATAATGTGAGACTCATAAAAAGCTCATAATCCATACTAATATTTAAGTAATTATCTTCGCATCTAGTCATAGACCTAGTTTTAATTTAAAAAAAAAATCAAAATGAACTCTTAAATGGACTACAACTCATAATTCAAACATATTATAAAAATTCTAATTAACAGTCAATATTTCATCAAATAAATTACGAAAAATGCTTTATTTAAAAGCAAAAAAAAAAAGAAAAAAAGAAAAAAAAGTAGCTTTTACTGTTGGCGGAGATCATTTCCGATAGAATTGGAAGAATATGAGGTTAGTTTTGGCAACTTAAAATTTAATCCGGTTTAGTTTTCATCCACTTATGCTTAGCTTATATTAGACTAAACTAGTTTCTATGTGAATTAGTTTTGAGTTGAACTTAGTGGGCTAATTTTTTAAACAAAACTGGTCTAAAACTAAATCTTATTTGGTAAATACACATAATGTATAAAGATAGAGTTCCAATTGATAATCAAATATATTTTCCCTTGTTATCTTGATAATCACAAAAAGTTTTATTCTTTTGGGCCAAACTTTATCCGGTTCTTTTGCAGTATTTTTTTGAAGCGAACTTATGTGGTTCTATTTTAAACCAGGGGATCCTTTGTTGTTAGTTCAGTTTTGAAAAAACTTGGGCTCGGGAATCCAAAATTGGGCTACACAAGAACTGATTTTAGCTAGACTACTTCATTTGCTAAACTAAATCTGAGTTATTGGACTAAGACTTTTAGGGGGTGTTTGGTTCGTTTCCATAAAATAATGGAAATGGAATCCAAGGCAAATAACCATTTCCAAAATTTTTTTTGGATCATGCAGGAATCCATAACTTGTGTTTGGTATAGAATGATGAAGTGATGAATAGGAAAGCATTTCCAAAACTCATGTTTGTTTCATTTCCAAAAAATTTAAGGAGTTGTGAGAGTAATTGATGAGTTGTCAATTAGTTGTCAGATTTCCAGCCCATTTCAGAGCTTTAAAAATGGATTTGGCTTTTCCATAAAGTGTGTTGCCATGTCAGCTTTTAAGAAATGCATTCTTAAAAAAAAGTTGAACCAAATGACAGTTTTGGAATCCAAAAATGTCAAAAAACCTACTTTTTGTTCCAAAACTGCATGATTTCCAAAAATTTAGCCGAACCAAACACCCCCTTAGTACTTTTTGCCAAGCAGCCCATGAGAGTCCAGATATAATAACTTTCCCCCCTTGCATAACTGTGGTCCCCATTCCAACCGCAGACTAATTTGTTTCATCCCCCGAGTTGGGACAAAATTTTCAAAACCAACCTATTTAACAGCTTAATTATAAAAAATAACCTATTTGCGACTTAATTGTCAAAATCGACCCAGTTTCAACCAGTTGGCTGAAACCGGGTCGATTTTGGCGTAATAATTTACGAAACTTCACAAGACTTCAAGTCCCGTGAAGTTTAAGCGCGTTGTTAAATTTCGTAAAAAAAAGTTATGAAACTTCACGGGACTTGAAGTCCAGTGAAGTTTCATAAATTATTTCGCCAAAATCGATTCAGTTAAATTCGAAATGGGTTGATTTTTCCAATTCAGTTCATAAATGGGTTTTTTGAAAATTTGTCCCCCTCCCGGGATTTATAAAGCCCAGCGACAGACAAGCCCAAAACAACCGCTCCGTAACCGCGTAAATCTCCAATCACAACCGATGGGGGACTAAACAGTAGACCCAAATCTCGCCTGAACCCTAGTTTTTCCTACTACTACTCAAAAAATGGAGAGGAGAAGGGGAAAACGAGCCCACGACAACGCCGATTTCACCTCCAAAAGACAAAGATTCCGTCGTCCTCTTTCAAAGATCGATGAGGTCGATGGTGATGACTCGATGTTGTTCAAGTCCTCTTCTTCCTCGTCGCCCATAGTGATGGTGACTGGACTCCCCTCTGATTGCACGGTTCTCGAGCTCAAGTCGAGGCTTGAGATGTACGGATCCATCTCTCGTACTCGCATCGACGCCGCCGACGGCGCTGGTTATGTTACGTTTCGGTCTGCTGATTCCGCTGAGGCCGCCATCGCAGCTTCGCTCGATCCGGGGTTTGGGGTCTCCATTAGATCCAGCAAGGTAGCGAATTTCTCTTTTTTGCTTGCCCTGTTCATTATTTTCGTCGAAGTTGAAATTTTGGTGCGTAATGGAGATGAAAAGTCGAGAATTTTAGGTGAGAGATGAGATTTTTTTTGGAGGTCTTAGAGCTTCATTCCTTTCAACTTCTCCACTAGGAGTCTTTTCTGTTGTTGATAAATGATTGATATACTTAAATAGCTGTTTTCTTGGCATTGAAGTTGGAACTGTGGTTGAAATTGGTGGTGGGATGGTATACGTACAGGTGAAGGAGTATAATGAGATCAAAAGGGAAGAGCTTTAGATGGAAGATAGATATTTAGAAGTCTCAGGGCTCAATGTCCTTCAATCCTCCTGATACATTGTTTACTTCTGCTTCATAATTGATTACTAGCAATCTTTTCCGTTAATTAGAGATTGAGATAATTAGATTAGTTGTTTTCCCTTTTTGCCTCTCTTGTTCTTCGCATTGAAGTCAAGATTGTGGTTGAAGTTGGGGGTGGGTTGGTATGAGTATAGGTGAAGTAGTACGATGGAGGTGCAAAGTGAAGAATTTTAGGTGAAAGATGAGGTTTTTATAAAGTCGTAGAGCTCGCTATTCTTCGCTTCTCCTAATACATTGCATTCTTTTACTTCGTAGTTCATTACTTGCAGTCATTTTCCATTGTTAATTAAATGTTGATATAATTAGATAGCTCTTTCCTCTTTTGCACCTCTTGTGCTTTGCACTGAAGTTGAAATTGTGGTTGCAGTTGGTGGGATGGTATGAGTATAGGTTAAGTAGCATGACTGAGATGAAAAAGTTAAGAACTTGGGGTGAAAGATGAGAATTTAGAAGGCTTAGAGCTCGATTCTCTTCACTTCCTCCTAATACATTCTGTACTTTTGCTTCAAAAATCATTATCATGAGTGTTTTCAAATGTTAATCAATAACTGATATATAGTAATACTGTTCGAGTAGAACAGATATCTACTTGGATCCTGGCTGAATTTGAATTGGAATTTTTATTATGGCTTTAACTTACACAGGTTAAACCTTCACAAAACCCTATGATTTTCAAATTTATTGAAGGGGTTTTGGAGGTCCTTTCGCTGGTTATGATGGTGAAAACATATGATGTAACCAAAGCTTCACATGTGGAGGATTATGATTAGATGAAGGAGAATGGACCGAAATAGCATGCTTGTTGGGAAGAGCAGATCTACAGTTGAAGTTATATGTTATGGTGTAGCAAGACATGAACCATTGACATAATACCGTAGACAATTGACTGACAAGGTAGGCTTTAGGTGAGCTTTCTGTAGCAAATAATTATGGGTTTTTCTATATTGTGCCCTTACGGCATATGTTAAGAAAGATTAAATGTTATCCAAGTATTTCTATTATCATAGAGATGCATACAAATTTTAAAAGTTTTTGGTTGGAATGTAACTTTGGTTCTAGAGAATGATTTTTTATTAAGTTGTTGCATGTAGATTATTATTGTTAGGGGAAAAAAAAATCAAAACCATTAAAACTTAGATGTTCATATATAATAATGGAGGGAGTTAGAGAGTATTTAATGTTTCTTAACATATGCCCTAAGGGCACATTATAGAAAAACCCAATAATTATCAATCTCAAGGCAAAAGTTGAGCGAGGAATTCACACTAATGTTGGGTTCTATAGAAGAGAGTGAGGTGGGGACGGATGGGGAAGATGATGCCATGAACAATGTGCATCTTGAGGTGATAGCAACCAAATTCAAAGGTATAAACAAACAAGTCTTAATGGCCTATTTGGGAGATCAAGGGAAGGGAAGGAAGGTTAAACTTCTCATTCACTTCCCTTTCCCTCCTTTACCCCCCAGTTTGGGGGGTAAGATTTTAGTGCAAAATTTCCCTAACTTCCCCTCCTCTATCCTCCTAATAGAACTCCCAAACAAGGTTAAATCCAAATTTCTCTTCTCCCTCCCTCCTTTACCCTCCATCCAAACACACCATTAGAAAAGCTCCAGTACCATGAGAGAATGATGATTGTGCTTCTTTCCTAACAAAATTCAGGAGTAGAGGAGACATGTATTAAGGGGCTGTTTGTTTGCCTAAAAAAAGAGGGAAATCAAAGAAAAGGAAACCTATTTCTAAGAAAAATAGGTTTTGAGATTGTTTGGTTGGCTAAAAAAAGAAGGAAATCAAAGAAATGGAGATGAGAGAGATGAGTTGTCACCTTATTATAGGATGATGTGAGTGGTTTTTTAAGAAAACTTGTTTTGATGTTGTTTGGTTGGCGGAAAAAATAAGGAAATGAATTATAAGAAACCTATTTCTTGTAATAGGTTGTTTTTTTTGTTTGGTTATTTCTTAAAAATAAGAAAATAGATGAGATGAGATGAGATGAGTTGTCATTATATTATTGGATGACGTGACTCACATTTAAGGAAATTGTTTTCCTAGCTTTTTGGGAGGAAAACAAAGAAATGAAATGTTAATGAGATGAGTTGTCACAATCTTATTGGATGATGTGAGTGATTTTTAAATATGAGATGAGATGAGTTAAGTGATGTTGTGGATGAAAATAATATTTTATTAGATGTGGTGGATGTGATGGATGAGTTGTTGGATGAAAATAATATTTTATTAGATGTGGTGGATGAGTTGTTGGATAAAAATAATATTTTATTAGATGTTGTGGGTGAGTTTTAGGGATGGAAATGTGTCAAATTGTACTTTTTGAGATTTCTTGGTTTTCATTTCTATTTTTTGGTTTTTTAGGAAATAACCAAATATGCCCTAATGGGAAAACTTTGCATAGGTTGTTATAGTTGACATCCTATAATCTAGGGATAACAATCCCATGATGTAAGGGAAGACAACTAGGATAGGTTAATTTAGACCATATCTATACATGTCTAAGTAATTCAAAATACATGGATGTATGTTCATGCAAACTCGGCACACGGCTCAGAAACACCCCTCACAAGCTTACATCTATTGCACTGAAATCTCGAAATGTAACATTAGAATGGTGCATTTGAACTAATAAGATATATGTATGTAAGTCATCAAAGTTTTACCAACCATCCTGGTTGTCATTTTTAAGATCATGGGACTAATCCCTTAGATTATGAAATGCCAGTTGTATATTATTTAAACTTTTCATAGTTATAAACATCTCCCTTGCTATTGAATTTTATGGAAAAAATTATCGTAGTTATCTCTCATTGTATCAGAGCTTCTTTGCATTTTTCTCTGATTGCTCTCTATAGGAAATGATGCCTTTTGAACTATATGTACTAAATTGCCATTTGGTCTAAATGAATGAAAATTGACAAAATTGTGAGTTACATAGCTCATGAAAATCACAAATTTTGATGTACACACTTAATTTCTATTTGGTTGGAACGAACAAAAATTGCAAAAATAATGGGTTAATTATAAACTTTGAACAATGTGTACTTGGTCAAAATGAATGAAAATTAAAAAAATCATGGGTTATAGCCCTTGCAAATTTTAATGTACACAATCTTAATTTTCATTCGTCAAAACGAAGAATAAACTACAAAAATCGTGGATGATATCTTATGAAAATAATGAATTTTAAACTACGTGTACTTAATCGCCATTTGGTCTTAATGAAAAACATCCTGGGATATAGCCTATGAAAATCCCAAATTTTGATGTACACATAATTAATTTCTATTTGGTTGAAATGGGCAAAAATAGCCAAAATCCGTAGATTATAGCTCATAAAAATAATGAAATTTTGAACTACATGTTCTTAATAGCCACTTGGTCTTAATGAATGAAAATTGACAAAATCATGGCTTTAGCCTATGAAAATTACAAATTTTGATGCAGACATACGTAATTTCCATTTGTGGGAAACAAACAAAAATAGCAAAAGTCATGGGTTATAAGCTTTATAGCACATGAAAATCATGAACTTTGAGTTACGCGCACTTAATTCCCATTTGGTTGAAATGAATAATTGTTAACAAAAATTATCCTGAAAATTACAAATTTTGATGTACATATACTTAATTTCCATTTAGACCCATTTGAGCTAAACAAAGACAAATACAAACATCACGAGTTTCCATGAAAATCATGAATTTTAAACTTTAAGTACTTAATTGTCATTTGGTCAAAACAAACAAAAATTGACAAAACTCGTGGATTGTAACACATGAAAAATAAAAGTTTTGATGCACGTACCTTATTTCCATTCGTTCATAACTGAAGAAGCTGCAAAAATAGTGAGTTACAACCCATGATAATCATGAATTTTTAACTACGAGTACTTTAATTGCCTTTTGGTTGAAATAAACTAAAAGTCAAAAATCATGAACGATAACCCATGAAAATAAGAAATTTTGATGTGCACACTTAATTTACTTTCGGTCAAAACAAAGTAAAATATCAAAAATCATGGGTTATATCTCTTATAAATCATGAAATTTTAGCCCACGAGACAAGCAAATTTTTATGTGCACATACTTAATTTACATTTTAGTCAAAATGAAAAATTTGCAAAAATCATGTTATATAGACCATAAAAATCATGAATTTTGGACTACATGTACTTAATTACTATTTGGTCTAAATTAATGAAAATTGACAAAATTCTTAGGTTATAGCTCTTAAAAATCACAAATTTTGAGATCCATACTTAATTACCATTTTGTTGAGCCAAACAAAAATTGTAAGATTTAGGTTATATTGCTGTGAAAATCATGGTTTTTTAACTATGCATACTTAATTGCTATTTAGACGAAAATAATGAAAATAAAAAAAAATTGTGGATTATAGCTCATGAAAATTGCAAAATTTTGATGTGCACATACTTAATTTTTATTCGGTCGAAAGACAAAAGTTGCTAAAATCGTGGGTTATAGCCTATTAAAATCATAAATTTTGAACTACACGTATTTAATTGCCATTTAGTTGAAAAGAACTAAAATTGACAAAAATCGTGGGTGACCATGAAAAATTAGAAAATTTGATGTACACAGTTAATTTACTTT